TAACTATTAAAATGGTAAAGTGTCTGTCCGTACTGCCTCAAATCATGTTGCTTCTGTGGAGGCAGACCTCTGCCCCCTTGCAGGACATGATGCCCTCAGGTGGCTCCAGGAGTTAAGGAGGTGAAGATGCCAGGGTGGCCTCTCTGCTGACACCCTGTCCCTATCTTCCCGGCAGGGGGTATGTGTCCGTTTCGCCACATCAGTGGTGAGAAGACAGTTGTGTGCAAACACTGGCTGCGTGGCCTATGCAAGAAAGGGGACCAGTGCGAGTTCCTGCATGAGTATGACATGACCAAGATGCCCGAGTGCTACTTCTACTCCAAGTTCGGTAAGGCACCTGGAGCTCTGGAGGCTCTGCTGAGAACCAGAGTGCAGAGGGGTCTGTTGGCTGCCCAGTGCCCACACTCTCTCTGCCTGCTTTTCCCATCTTTCCATTCTCAGAGGAGAAACTTGGGCAGAGCCTGCCAGCCTCAGCCAGCTTTTAGGAGACAGCGTGGCTATTTTCTGCTCATCTCTCTCTCTCTTTTTTTTTTTTTTTTGAGACTGAGTCTCGCTCTGTCGCCCAGGCTGGAGTGCAGTGGCTGGATCTCAGCTCACTGCAAGCTCCGCCTCCCGGGTTCCCGCCATTCTCCTGCCTCAGCCTCCCGAGTAGCTGGGACTACAGGCGCCCGCCACCTCGCCCGGCTAGTTTTTTTTGTATTTTTTAGTAGAGACGGAGTTTCACCGTGTTAGCCAGGATGGTCTCGATCTCCTGACCTCGTGATCCGCCCGTCTCGGCCTCCCAAAGTGCTGGGATTACAGGCTTGAGCCACCGCGCCCGGCCTCTTTTTTTTTTTTTTAAAGACACAAGGTCTCGCTATGTTTCACATACTGGTCTTGAACGCCTGGGCTCGAATGATCTGCCTGCCTCAGCCTCCCAAAGTGCTGGGATTACAGGCGTGAGCCACTGCGCCAGACCCCTTGCATTCTTTTGGAGTGCTTCAGTGTTTGGAGCTCTTTCAATCACTCTGGGATTTGAGGCTAATGAGGGTGACCTGGAAGCAGCGAGTTGTGCAGCTGGCTGCATTATGTCTGTGGTTGGTTTCTGTCCACATCCACCTTCTCCCTGAAACCCACTTCTCCCTACAGTGTGGGAACTGCCTCTCAGGCCGGAGCTGGTTCCTTCTCTCCGGGAGCCATGATCCTGGTGACATTTCAGCCATCCTTAACAGCCCTTCAAAATAGCAGCCTCAGATGTGTCTTCTGGTAGCACCAAGCTTGCCTTGAGCCCTGCTTAGAGAATGCGTGACCTCAGCTGCCCTGAGTGGCCTGCGTGGAGAAGCGGGAGACCGGATGGAGTCGGTGGGGCTGGCACAGAGTCTGGCAGAGATGTTGTGCTCCCTGCTGGAATGAGTCCCCAGGGTCCCTGCTCAGGTCTGCACTTCGTGGTTTCCCAAGAAGCAGCTCTGTGGGTCAGCATGAGGCTGGCTCTAGTCCTGGGCAGGGAGCCCGGCAGAAGGCCGGAATCCTGCAGGGAGCCAAGGGGTACAGGATATGCTTCATGCTTTCAAAGCACTGCTTTTGGAGGAGACATTATTTCAGCATCCCAATAGGTGTGGCCTGCTGGCTTATTAATGAGAGCTGTGGCTTGTTTTGTGGAGGTGGCATAAGCTGAGAAGAAATAGAACCCAAGCTTCCCAGCTCCCCAAGTGCTGTCCTCTGCCATTGTGCAATGTAGCATGTTCCCCCCTGACGCCTTGCCCATAGCAGCACTGGGATGGGGCAGTGGCCTCCCATCTGTCCCCACAGGCAGCAGCTGGCTCTCCTGGGCAGGCTTTCAAGGCACCGCTATCCAAGTGGCCTGGGGGTCGCTCCTTCCTTGCTGACGGCCCTGGTGCGGGACACACTGTGTGCAGCTTCTGTCACCTGCACCACAGACATTGGGTTGAGGGCCTCCTTTCTAGGCACTGGAGGAACAATGGTGAAGAGGTCCTTGCCCTGTGAATTCTTCACTCTTGTGGTCCAGGGAAAGATGTAGCCGATAAGCCATGAGACGAACAGAGAAGAAATTACTTGTGACAAGTGCTCTGAAGGAAGGAAACCATGACCAGAACCTTGAGGCAGAGTGGTCAAGGATGAGGGGATTCCTGAGCTAGGAGCGGAAGACTGAGAAGGGGCTGGTCCTGGTGCAGGGGGACCCACGTGACTGGGGGGTGGCAGAGGCGGAGCTTGTGGGGGAGCCTGGGGAAGGAGTTTGCATCTCCTTAGAATTTTGAGCACAGTTGTTAACGTGGATTGGAGAAGGTGAGCCAAGAAGCGGGCAACTACCCAGGAAGGCAGTTCTCAGTGCTGGTGGTCCCTGGGGCCCGCTGCTTCGGAGAGGGCCAGGTCCACTAGTGCTTCTCCCTACCCTTGTCCCAGCTCTTAGACATGAAGAGCCAATCAGAGTGGAACTTCCTGGTCTCCATGGGTGCTTTTCTGTCCAGCCCCACTGCACAGGAAGCTGGGGCTCAGAGACACTCTTCCCTGGCTCTCAGGGCTCATCAGGCCAAAACTGGACACCAGAACCTCTTTTCCTTGGATGAAGCCAAGGTGGGCCTGGCCCCAGCCTTCCTAGCGGCCTCACGTCTGAGTTTTCCTGCAGGAGAGTGCAGCAACAAGGAGTGTCCCTTCCTGCACATCGACCCCGAGTCCAAGATCAAGGACTGCCCTTGGTATGACCGCGGCTTCTGCAAGCACGGTAGGTGCCAGGGTGAGCTGGGCCCCTGGCAAGAAGCCAAGTCCTCCCTTCTCTGCCTACATGACCCTGGAGGCTGCCATCTGGTCTACCTGGGACATCTTGCCCTACCTGTCCCAGCAAAACCTGACATTCTGCAGCTAGCGGCTTGCTCATACCCCTCATCTCCCTTGACTCTCCCAAGAATGCTGGGTGGGTGGTGGTCCACCTGCATTTTTGATAAGGAGGCCAGTGTTGGGAGGTGAGGTCCCTGCCCCCTGTCTGCCATGAATGGGGGACAGCCAGCATTTGAAGCCATGCTCCAGCTCTCTAACTGGTAGAGGGGATGTCTAAGTGACCAGACACTTGGCTCTGCAGGTCCCCTCTGCAGGCACCGGCACACACGGAGAGTCATCTGTGTGAATTACCTCGTGGGATTCTGCCCAGAGGGGCCCTCATGTAAATTCATGCAGTGAGTAGCCAGCCGCTCTGCCCTCTACCCTCTACCCCAGCTCCCAGCCCAGACCGTGCTGCCCTCTGTATCTTCCCTGGGCCACCTGGGCTTTGGTCACTGTGTGATGTCAGTACTAGAGCCAAGGGTGGGGGCAGGAGATAGGGAAGTAATCCCTGCTTATGGCCACCAGTGCTTCCTGAGCCCAGAGGTGGCGCTGCCTAGACCCATTTCTTGGGTCATGGGCCATCTGGTAATCTAATGGAAGCTGTGGGATACAGACACACATGTAGCCTTGCATATCATTTAGGGAATTTGGGGACTTCCAATTAAGAACGCACCCTAAAGGAAGGAAACTAGAATTTCAGTCTCCTATGTGGAGGCTCAGAAAACCCTGAGCTTGGGGTTTCACATAGAATAAGTAGTCATCTAACAGTGAGGGTAGGAGAGAACACACCCATTTCACACAGCAGCACACTGAGGCACAGGGCTTGGTCCCTGGCCAGGGGCACATGGTCAAAGGCAAGTCTGGGCCGGGTGTGGTGGCTCACACCTGTAATCCCAGCACTTTGGGAGGCTGAGGTGGACAGATCACGAGGTCAGGAGTTCAAGACCAGCCTGGCCAATATGGTGAAACCCTGTCCCTACTAAAATTACAAAAATTAGCCAGGCATAGTGGTGTGTGCCTGTAGTCCCAGCTACTTGGGAGGCTGAGGCAGAAGAATCACTTGAACCCGGGAGGTGGAGGTTGCAGTGAGCCAACATCATGCCATTGCATTCCAGCCTGGGCACAGAGCGAGACTCCATCATAGTTTAGATAGATAGATAGAAGATAGATAGATAGATAGATAGATAGATAGATAGATAGATAGATAGATAGATAGAGCGAGACTCCATCATAGTTTAGATAGATAGATAGATAAGATAGATAGATAAGATAGATAAATAGGATAGATTAGATAGGATAGATAGATAGCAAGTCTGTGAGCCTCTGAAGATCGGTTTTAATTCTTCTCCATGGGGTTAGCACCCCTCTTCTGGCTTCATTGTCTTGTCCTTGGAGCCCAGTGCCCATCTGTCACTTTGCTTGTGGACCCGGGCTTCCGCCTGGGGTGGCACTGGGGCTGCAGACAAGCCTCCCCTCCTCCTGGCTGCCTCGCCCACACTGCTGAACCTGCAGCGGGATAACAGTCTCCAGGTCTGTGGGGACCCTGGTCCCTGCTTCTCACTGCAGGGAAGTGGCCGGTGCTGCCACTGGGTCTCACTCCCTGAATGAGAGTGCAGGCACCTGCAGGTGGCCTGGGGCAGACCGTTACCAAGTGATGGGAGGAGGGGCTGACGCCAGAGTAAGACCCTGCGGGGAGCGGGGCTTCCCTGTGTTCAGCTCCTGGGGCGCAGCAGGCGCGTACCGGTGCAGCTTTTGTCATTTCCGAGCAGCACTGGCCGTGAGTTTCCCAGTTCAGTGTAGGCAGGGCTGGGCCTGAGCCCAGGCAAGTCAGTTGTGTTCTCCACGCCACTCCCGCGGCCTCCCAGGAGCAGAGCTGAGTGCCAGCCCCACCCCATCCATGCAGCTTGTGTCAAATCACTTTGTGCTGGGGCAGCTGAGTGTGATTTTCCTAGGGCTGGAATTTAAGAGCATGGCCTAGCTTCTCTCTTCTCATCCCCCGTCCCCGACTCCTTCTCTTGTTCTCATCCCCTCTGGCTGCTGGTGACCAGCCCTCGATTTGAACTGCCCATGGGAACCACCGAGCAGCCCCCACTGCCGCAGCAGACCCAGCCTCCGGCAAAGGTACCGTGCCTGGCCCTCCTCGGTAGGAAGGAAGTGCCTTTTCTCCAGCGAGAACCTCAGTGTCCCCCGGGGGTGCAGTCTGCTTTAGACCCCACTGCAGAACTTGGGAGAGAAGGGGCGTCTCCCAAGTTCCCGCAGAAAAGTCAGGGGCAGAGCCATGTGTATCTCCCTCGAGAGATGCAGGGCCTCTCACCCTGGAACCTCAGCAAGGCCAAGCGCAGCAGCAAAGTTGAGGCGCCATGCAACCAGCCACCCATTGTGAGATGGGGCTGCCTGGCACAGCAGCGTCTGCCCCAGGAGCCGGCCTGGGCACCATGTCTGCGCCCGGGGAGCTGGCATGGAGCCGGCCTGGGCAATGTGTCTGCTGCTTTTGCTCCTGGGCCAGACCCTTCGTTTTGCAGATAGGGGAACTGAGACTTCCAGAGCGGGGGAACTTGCCTGAGGCAATGCCACTGGGCAGGAGCAGGTGTGGCAGCAGAACTGACCACTCTGGCCAGCACCGCCCCTGCTCCTGTGGAGTGGAGGCTGGGAGGAGGGGTGAGAACAGGCCCAGCTGGCTCCAGTTTTCTAGATAAGGGGCCCCGCAGCCAAGCAGCTGGTCCGACCCCTCCAGCCCAAGGAGGGAGGGAAATGCCATAGACACATGCCATCTGCAGCAGCCCCTCAACGCCAAGGGCACCCTGAGTTTGGATATGGGAGTCGGGGGTTGAGCCAAGAGGAAGGGCTGGCATCAAGGCAGGGCGGGCATCAGGCAGGGTTCCCAACAGGCCCACCAAGCCCACCCACCTGAGCCCAAAGCCTCACCTCCTACCCTGCTGGGCTCTGGACTGGCTGCCAAAGCCCCACCAGCCCCGCTAAGTGCTAGAGGCTGAACAGCCAGGAGAGGATGCAGTGGATACAGCTGCGTGGAGGCCAGTCCTATTGAACTCTTGATGGGGAAAGCGGGGAATTCCAGGTGTAGGTGCAGCCGTGCCAACCTGGGGGTTTTCTAGCTCGGGTTCTGCACTTATGGGCCAGAGCCAGGAGCCCACGGGTCGGGAGGAGGCCCTGCTGTGGAATCCCTACCCCAGGAGCCCTGGCCCTCCTCCTGGCGGGGCTCCCTAGAGGAGGGTCCTCTCAGCCCGAGAACGCAGCTCAGTGTGTCAGGCTCCAACTGTTTTTCTGTGACTTGCTCGCCGTGTAGGCTGCTAAACATCTGGCTGAACCAAGCGTTCATCCTGACCTGAAGCCAGAACCTCAGAAACCAAAGTAAGGCCTGAACATGCCCTCGCCCCACTGCCCCAGAGACCTCCTCTTGTCTCCTTGATGTTTTGTTTTCTATTTTATTTTTCGTTTTTGTGTGTCTGCATGGTGTTTTTCGGGCAGTGGCTTCTGCCATCATCACCAGATGTTTCTCTGTTGCCCGCTGTCCTGAGCTGGGCCGTCGTGGAAGCCCTTCTTCCTGCCGTTTGCGGGACGAGTCCCGCCCTCTTTTTTCCTGTCCCCATCGGTAGTCTGCGTGCACGTGTTTTCCACAGTAAAACCGTGTTGTGTAACTCTTTCCAGCAAAGTAACAATCCGCCATTACAAAGGTCGTCCTCCTTGATCCAGTTAACGAGTCAGAACTCTTCTCCCAATCAGCAGAGAACCCCACAGGTCATCGGGGTCATGCAGAGTCAAAACAGCAGCGCGGGCAACCGGGGACCCCGGCCACTGGAGCAGGTCACCTGTTACAAGGTGAGTCCCTGGGCTGGGGGATGGGGTGGGGTCTTCCCTTACTGTCAGTGGCCATTCCCTTATGCCCCATATGTTTGGTGAAATGAGAAAAGTGAAAACATTCGTTTTTGCTGATTGTAAGCATAAAGTTACAGTCTAGTTACCCATCCACTATGGTGGGCTAGAGACTGTCCTATTTCCTACCACACTGCACTGAGGCACAGTAAAGGATGGTGAGAACGCCTGCCCAGTGAATGGATGGGGCCTGCAGGCAGGTGAGGGACGCCCCCAAGAGGGTGGGAACAAAATGGAAACACTGATCCAGGGAAGGGTAAACCCTTGGAGCCGCTGGCTGTCCTGAAGGCATCTTCGGATCCTGCAGGGCACATCCTAGGAAACAGGACACTGGGTTACAGCACCCCCGTCCCCATCCCCTCCCCCAGTACATAAAATGGACTCAGGGGAAGGGTGAGCTTAAAAAAACCTCCTCGAAAACTGTCCTGTTCACTCTTGGCTCTGTGGGAGGCGGGGAAAGAGGAGGGAAATCTCTTCATAGTTTGATGTTGTTGATGAGTCTGGGCCTATATTCATGTCCTTGGTTAAGGCTGGAAAGTTACAAACTAAGTTTTCTAATCTAAAATCGCCCCAGGATTGGTATGCCCCTGGCACCTGGCAGGAGCAACCCCCAGTACTCTTGGAAGAGTATGTTCTCAACCCAAGGCACACACAATTCCTACGTCTGGAGTTCTGAAGAACGAGTCCAGATTAGAAATCACAAAACAGGCTGGGTGTGGTGGCGCATGCTTGTAGTCCCAGCTACTGGGGAGGCTGAGGTGGGAGGATTGCTTGGGCCCAGGAGGTCAAGCCTGCAGTGAGTTATGACTGCACCACTGCACTCCAGCCTGGGTGACACAGTGAGACTATTGTTTCAAAAAAAAAAAAAAAAAAAAGTCCCAGAAGTGGGACTGTGTATAGAGCAGACTTAGCTGTTATCTTGCCGCCCTGTAATCCCAGCACTTTGGGAGGCCAAGGGGGGTAGATCACAACAAGGTCAGGAGTTCGAGACTAGCCTGGCCAACATGGAAGAAAGAAAACAGGGACTGCGGAGCCAGGGAATAGAGCTGGCAAGAGTGCTGGGTATTGACTGGGCAGAGCCCCTCGGGGTAGCAGGGACTGGGGGGTGGGTGTCAGCAGACAGTGCCCCCAGCTGCCTCCTGACCCTTTTGTTCAGTGCTTGAGGCTGCCGTTTAAGGAGTCACAGAGTAAAGAGAAACTACGGAAGGGCCTGGATAATCAGGATGGGATGAGGCAGGGTCAGGGCTGGATTTGTCATGTGGCTCTGCAGACTCCCCTTATAAGCATCATCCCATCTCTCTTATCCTGTGATCAAAACCTGTCCCCAAGGTAGCTTAGACAGGTGTGTCACAGCCACAAGGGAAAACGTTGGGTACAGCCCACCTTCTGTCCCCAGCACTGGTTCCCAAAGGGAGGGGAGGCTGGGGCACTTCTCATGCTGTTCCCTCCCGTCTCCTGCCAGGGAACCCCAGACCTTGGCTCAGAGGTAAGTGACTGGCCTGTGGTGCAGAGGGGCTTGGTCCCCAGACGGGGTGGCGGAGCTCAGGTGCCACGGGCTTCTCTTTGTCCTGCTACCCACTTGGGAGTCCCTCCCTGGGCAGGCCCTGTGTCCATGTGGGAGAGGTGTGGGCCTGAAAGAGCCCCTGCAGGGTGCTAGCAGGTCGCCTTCTGGTGGCCTATTCTCCCTCGCACCTGTGACTTGCTGGCTAGTTTCTGCACCACTGCACTTTCCATCCTGAGCTCCCTCACCCTCCAATTTGAAAAAAACTGTACCACTGAGAATTTCAGAGTCCTGTTCCGACTGGGGACTTGGTGGATGACTGGGGATTTGGTGGGCACTGCCTTAGTTGAAAACGGCATTTGAACAGTGTTATTGTCTGTCTCTCCTCTTCCCCCCACTTCCTGCTCTTCCCAGTGTGGCGAGAAAGGACACTACGCCAACAGATGCACCAAAGGGCACTTGGCCTTTCTCAGTGGACAGTGACAGCAGCTGGAGCCAGCTCCGAGCAGCCCGGGGGCCCCGCTGTTGGGAGTGTGCATTTAACTATTTCATGCGCTTATTGGCGCGACTGTGGCTTGAGCTGGCCCGCAGGCATGTGGGTTTCATCGTTCTGAGGGGCCACGCCTGTTAGTTTTCTATTATTCTGCCGTAATATTTTTTGAAAAAGGGACAAGTGTCCTGCTGGGTCCCTGCAGTCGACATCCTATTTGGCGGGGCATCGATGCCCCCTTTCTGGATCGATGCCTCCTTTCCGGGACTCCCGGCACGAGTCCCCTCATCCAGGGAGGGAGGAAGCTGCTGGGGAGGGGCTTGGCTAGGCAGTTCTGTGTGGCGATGGTTTTCCCCTCATTAAACACCAGTTCTTGGTGACCGCAGGGGCTGGTAGGTCATTCAAAGCTGTGGCTGGCTCACGCCTGCTTCCTCCCTCCCTGCCCTGCTGAATCCTAAAGCTGTGCCTCTATGTGATTTGAATGAGGGAGCCCTTCAGGGCAAATTCAGGTGCCCCCATTGCCTCAGACTGGCCCTGGTCCCAGGTGGCAGCGGTTGAGGAGGGGTGCAGGGCTCTCAGGCCTGAGGTTCTCTCCTCTGGGCTTAATTTTCTCTTGGGGTACGCTCCTGACAGACTTTAAGGTGTCCCTTGAGCTGGAGCTGCAGACCTTTAAATAGATGGCCCCTTCAGATCATCTGTGCCTACCTCCTGCCCGCCAGGCGTCTACACTCACTCAGATGCCTGTGGCATGTGGAGGAGACTGCCTTGTCCTGAGCCTGGAAAATGTGAAACTGTCTCCTGTCTCCTGCTGGGCATGTGGGCCTGGCCACGTTCAATTGCAAGAACAATTTTTATGAAATGGATTAAAGCTTGTTTTTTAAGCCATGCCTCATTACTTAAGGTTCTCATGCCAAGCCTCTTACACTGGATGCAATCACAGCCTAGCTTTCTTGTCCCTTTCAACAAATGTCAGTCTCACAAAGGGAAGTGCAGCTGCCCAGAAGGCCTTTGTGCAAGCAGCTGGTCAAGTCTGGGCGTCTGACCTGTGGAGCCAGCAGGCAGGCTCTCCACCTCAGCTCAGATGTCAGGTGGCCCCCATTTCTGGAACACAGCATCCCACCCCCAATGAGGCTCTGATGAAGGGGAAGAAGGAGGGGTCGCCATGGCCCCTCACTTTTCCCCGTCACTCCCATCCCACTAAGCCTGCTAGAGAAGCCTCCTCAGCCGGAGGGCCACACTCTGCAGCGTGGGCATTAGTGCTGCCTGAGGTCTCTCCAGACAGTGCTGGGACACCTCACCCTGTAGCCCTTGATGCCCCAGGGTGATGCAGAAACGAGATGAGAAAACATCCGGGCGGTCTAAAAATCCCCTGCCTAGAGCCACAGGACGGCCGGGGTGGGGTCTGCTACTCTCAGTCACACAGGCCTTTGTGTTACACCATAAAGGGTCAGCCAACTAAAGGCCAGAGTGTCTGCGAATGCACCTGTCCATAGCACTCATGGCAGGGGACAGACTTCGGCACTGCTGCTGCAGGAAGGTCTGGATGACACCCTGCCCTCCAGGGAGCTGGGACACAACCCAAGTGGTGGTCTGGGAAGTCCACAAAGGGCTTCACAGGTCAATGCCCTGGAAAGACAACCTCCCCCCACCTTGTGCCACAGGAGCCCCTGGAGCATGGGACAACGGCTACGGCAGGCAAGCAGCACACGTACCAGTCATCTTTTATTTGGAGGTTAATTCCCATCAGGACATGAAAGGATTCAGCAACGATCGAGATTGTGTTCCTCATGGAGGGGCTCAGGCCAAGGTCATGGGGTCGGGGGTGGTGCATAGCGTGTCCTCTTCAGTGGTATTTGCGGAGCCGCTCGTGCTCTGAAGTCAGGAAGGCAAGATGGTAAGTATCTTACAAGGTTACAGTGAAGGCACGGCGTGACAGGAAGCAGACTGAGATCACACAAAGCCTTCCTGAGAATTCCCTTCAGAGATGACCCACGACCCGCCTGCCGGTGTCTCTGCAGAATCAGCAGACCCGGGGGGGGCACAAAGACACCTCAGGAGCCAACCTGCCACCTGGGCAGCTGCTTTCTTTCCAGAAGGAACAGAGGGAACACCTGCTCAGACAAACAGCCCTGAGAACCCATCCTTCAGAAGCAGCACCGCCCTGGTGCAGCAGAGTGGGAGTGAGGTGGGGGTGAGGGGTGTACACGACACTGTCAGAAACAGTCTAGTCAGAGGACATCAGCAACACTTCCCGCCAATCTCCCACCAGACAAGCTCCTCTCGAGCCTCAAAGCCGGAACAGCCCTGCTTTTCTGGGGTACCAGATTATCCCACTCAACTCATTTCTCTTTCTGCACTGGCTACTAGGAAGATCGAGCCAAATTTTCACAGAGCCTGCTGTATTTTAAAGAATGCTTCTAAGTATTCTCTTTACCCTGGCTTCATTGTGATTTTCTTGTGTTCTTGTTGTCACAATTTTCTCATTCAAACAATATCCCACATACTGTACTCTGATAGGTCCCTCCAATTCTTTTAGGTGGAAACATAAGGGATTTACTAAAAGTCTCTCAGCCTCAGAAGAAGGTGGGCTGCTGTCTCTAATGAAATCAGTCACCACCACCCTCTCTTGGGAAACTGAAGGCAAGATGCCGCAGAGGCACTCACTGAGATGCTTGTAGGAAATGCTGTAGTTGAAGAGCACGTAGCATGCCAGCACCATGGTAATCCCTGAGATGCTCCCCTTCTTCACGTTAATGTACTTGTTGCAGTACCGGTAGTAACCTGCAAATGCAAGAGGCGCTCATTGCCCTGCTGGGCTTCACATTTCAGTGAAGTTGAGCACAGAGTTGAGTCTGGCTGACATTCAGGGACCCAGTCCTGCTCTGGCTGTTTAAGCCCCTCGCCCTGCATTCACTGGCTGATGAAGGTGACAAGCACAAATGCCAGTAAGGTCTCCAATCCCCATAGCCTAAACTATAAGCACATACCAGCTCCTGAACTAGGCCCACCTGGATTCCACCTCTCCCCTTTGGCCTTGATCTTGTAGCCTCCTGAGTAGCTGGGACTACAGGCATGCACCACCACACCCAGCTAATTTTTCTTGTGTGATTTTTTTATAGAGATGGGGTCTCTCCACATTGCCTAGGCTGGTCTAAAACTTGGCTCAAGCAATCCCCCGGCCTTGGCTTCCCGAAGTGCTGGGATTACAAGCATGAGCCACTGCACCCAGCCAAGATAGGCCATTTCAAATATTTGTCCTGGAAGTTCTGGCAGGGAGGTGAGCATCATATTATAGACTAATGCCCACTACGGTTCCAAATTCATTTTCCTCTTAAAGAAGTCTTAGGATTTCTCTAAGAGGCAGACGTACTGATTCCAAGCAATAGGAAACACGTTCTTGGCTGCAATATCTCAGAGCCAGCCTTTGAAAGCGCCAATCAACCATGGAGGTCCAAGGCCTAGCCACCCCTCCCTGTCCTCCTCTATATAACTTACTGCTTTCAGACAACAAGACCTTCGTCGCCCAAATTAATTCATGGCAAAAAGAGACCTGAAGACCCAGAGATTTGCTTTCATTTACACACATCCACAAGGCTCTGACCTCTTCGAAATGCTCCGAGAATGCCACTAGGGCTGAAGTCCCGCATCAAGATCCAGTTTGGCAGCTCCCCCAGTTTGACCTCCAGAAGTTTCTTGTCCTTCACTGGTACTGAAACGGAAGAGTGAGAAAAAATACCCACTGAATAATCTCCCAGTAACACACATGGCATCCTTTCCTGCCACTACTTCAACTATGCAATAATGGTGCATAATGCAATTACACAGAGGCTGCACATACAAAATATTACAAAGAAATACGTCACATCAAGCCCACTATTTTAACCCTGAGTCCACACAATAGCAGAATTGCTACAGCGTCAGCTTTATTAACCAACAGGACGTCTGAGTAACAGCTTGCTGGGAGTAACTCCAGAAAAGGGTCTTGAAGAAAGTAGTAACGTGGAGAACAGGAAAGACTACTGCAAAGCTAACATTTACTTGACATTATTAGCTTATTTCATCTTCACAGCAAGCAGTTCATGCCTTTATCTTACAGGAGGGGAGGGGGGATAGACTCAGAGAGGTTGGGCCACATGACCAAGGTCACACACACAACGTGGGGGCAGGACTGGCCCCCCACGTCCCTGAAGCCACTATGAGAGTGCCCTGTCCAACCCTGGGGATGTGTGCCTGGAGAACGTACTAGAGGGGATGTGGAAGGAGAGCGGCATGACGGTGGCCCCAAGTATCTCACTCAGACTTGATGTACTTGTTTACTGGGGAAGGGCTTCAAAGAGCATCTGGGTTCACACAGCTTCCAGCCTCCCCAGATGGGCCAGCCCGAGCAAGTATAATGAAAGAAACCCAAGGAATTTCCACCTCCAGCATCCTGGGACCACGGACGCCAACAATTTCCAGAGATAAAAATAAGAGATTACACATTCCGAGAAGTCAACTGACTTAGGAAAAACCACTCCAAATGACTGAACGGCCCCAGACCATATTCCAATGGGAGTCTGAGAACAAGGAATCAGAAGAATTCCTGGCTGACACTGCACTGTCCTCACATTTGGGCCCAGGAGGAGACCACGGAGGGCCAGGGAGTGGGTGGGCCTGTGGGTGTCAAGGAGATGCACCTAAGGAAGGAATGGTCTCCCCTGTTCTCCCTGCAAAGATTTTATTTATTTATTTTTAAGAGACAGGGTCTCACTCCATTACCCAGGCTGGAGTGCAGTGGTTATGCACAGGTGTGATCACAGCTCACTGCAGCCTCACTGAGCTTCCTGGACTGAAGTGATCCTCCTGCTTCAACCTCCTGAACAGCTGGGACTACAGGTGTGTGCCACCACACCCAGCTAATGATCAGTTTTAAAAAGCTTTTAGCAGGTGTCCTATTGAGGGCAAAGAGTCTAGGACCACGGTGCCTTCTCAAAGATAACCACAAGAGGAGCCAGATTAAATCATTCCAAGGATTTCTTCTCCATTTTGGGATCAAAGGAAAGACTAAGGCTCTGTCAGGACCAGCCTCAAGAGTCTGCTGAGGGAGGCCGGGCACAGTGGTTCACACCTGTAATCCCAGCACTTTGGGAGGCCAAGGCAGGCAGATCACCTGACGTCAGGA